TTATTATTCCGCTTTATTACCGTGAATATTATTTTGGTAAGGGGTTTATTCCCAACAGAAACAGTAAAACTTTTTAACTTACTTCATTTTTCAGCAATATTTTAAGAGCAAAATAAGAAAAAAAGCCTAAAATCTGACAGAAAAGATAAATACTAATGCTGGGCATAGGGAGGTGCCACATCACCTTTCTCATTCCCAACTTTATATATATATATATATATATATATAGATGGTTCCAAAGAATGTTTTTCTTCTATATAAAATTTCTCCTGACCTCTTGCAAAATTGTATTTTCATGGTCTCCAAATTGTCACACCCCAACCACACCTAAAGCGCATTTGTTTCATATGCGTGGTCGATTTAAGTCTTTTGTATTCAGATGTTCAATTTTACACTTATATATTGAGATGATAAGATTCGAGGAAACGACAATAACAAGGATGCTCAGTTATTCAAGGTTTTGCAAGCATGTAAAATCAAGGGTTGTGGAATGGATGGGTTTGCTACATCCTTTACCTATAATTTCAAGTTCGAGTTTGAGAATGAAGAAAATTGACGGGCTATATACAGTGTGAATTCGATTAGTAAAAGATGAGTTCAAAATATGGAATGGTTTTAAGAAAAATGATATATACAGTGGGGCCGGGACACCATTATCGAATAAAAATTTGAGCAAATGCTAGAGTCGAAATCGAGCCAAAACAACGTACTAGAAGTCAAGTTATGCCCCAAAACAACCAATGCAGTTGTCAAAGATTTGAATCTTAGGGATGTCAATCAAAAATATACCTATATATATGTATGAATGTATTTTACAAGACAATGATACAAATGTTAAAAGATATATTTATAAAAACAAGGATGAACTTCTTTTCAATAAAAGCATTGATCAATAAATTAGATACTTGGATCAACATCTTTTGTTGTTTTTATTTTAGGAGTGTAATTAATGACTAAGAGACATTTAATTTTCCCTTATTAGTTTTGCTTTACCAATGGAGACTAGCTTATTGGAATGATTCTAAAGAATGTTCTTAGTGAAATTTCAAGGTTACTTATTGCCAAATTGCCACAGACCAGCCTCACTTTTTATTTTTTATTTTTTAATTGTTTTACATAGGTGACCAACTTCATGAAGTTCATTTTTGTTAATTACTTGGTCTTCGGGTAAATCATTTCGAATTTTTACTTCTACATATTTACAGATTCTGCAAGATTCAAGTGAAAATCACTAACAATAATGACAGATAACATCATTAACAACTCATTAAAGTTCTGTAAGCCTCCAAGATTATTACTACTGGTTGGTGAAAACATCTTGGAAAATAAATTGTAAGTTACAATCTCTTTTCTGCCATTCTCAGATTCCATATTCTTTACCTAAGAGGCAACAATAATTAGCCAACTATTTTGAGGTTCCGCAAGTCTTCAAAACTTATGAGAAACATATATGGGAAACTTAATTAAAGTCATTACAAGTCACAAACCCCTTTTCACAATAATCGGTTCCCATATATGGGAAATAGATTAATAAATTCTTCCTATCCCTTTCCGAGAGGTTGCAGAAATAGAGTCTGAATCCAGAATCTAAAGTCATTTGATTCAAAATAAGTATCATGATCATACAAATGTATATATCTATGTACATATAGTTCGAACAGAAAGCAATGAACTCGATCCGCTGAAGCCGCTCTACATCTACATCTATATATTGTAGAATTGTAGACATAACTATTAAAGCATCACACCAAAATGGTATGTCTAGCCATCACCAATGACTTAATCTGCTCCAATCATCTAGCAACTTAGTGTCCATTTCCATAAACCACTAGTTGTGAATCCAGCAATTTAGAAACATGACTTGTTGAAGAGACTCATCGACATGTTTCCTCTTCCCTGCTTCTTCACCTTGAATACTACTACTACTTCCAAATGGCAATCTTGCATTTTCTGGTTCCCTACTATAGATGATGGAAGAATTTGTGTTTCGACAATATGGTGGAACCCGAGATGTATACTTAGACGAATGATCAATTTTTCCCTCTATCATAGCTATACTAGCTGCCATACAAACTCGACTTAGATAACTCATATTGTTTGCTATTTTTTTCGCCTGACCAAGATTGAAATTATATTAATTGGGTAGATAAGATTTGTGCACGGGTACTGCAGCTATATAGGAATTAATGGATCTGTATCAGTTGGCGTAGAGAAGCGGTTTTGGAGACAAAAAAAACTCATAAAGTACGTGGTAACCATGGTTTCAAGAATCTCTAGTGGCTCATTTATGTAACGTCTTTGTCACTCCTACTTGCTGCATGGATATTATCTTAGCCATTTAGCTGGGGGAATGTATCAGCAATTTTGTCTTCTACATTACTCTAGGAAAAAAAAACAAATATACGATGAAATTCATTTTATATATATGTAGTTAATTAATATATAGTCTACATAGAGTGATTAGGATGAAGGCTGTGTTCTTTTAAATTCATTTTACTTAGTAGATCATGTGAGGGCTCAACAACAACATGAGATCCAAACTCATAATACTTCGGAATTGTGATTCTTCATCAGTAAACTGTCTTTCAGAGGACATTTAAAATCTGACTAATAAGCCCTTCTTATTTCATATCTATTCTCCAAGAGCAGTTACCAAATGCAATTTGTGGCAACTGGCAAGGATAGCTGTGTAATTTGATGAAAGACTCTACAGCAAGCTCGGCTTTAAATGGGACAAGGTCCCCATTCGTCTTAAATTTGCCCACAGAATTTAGTAGCATCATAAATTTTGCTTGAGGCATGAGCTTAAATACACTGAATCAGTATAATTAGCGCTTTCCCAATTTAATAATCTAGACCAAGCAATTACTACTTTTTTATTCGACTTAGACCAACCAACTTATTGTTTTGCGTTCTATGACTCCGCGTCAGCTTATTTGTCCAAATTCTTAATGAAGCCTTTGGGAAGAACTAAGAGAGGCTTTTCTTTGTTTTAATTTAAAGTGTTTTTTGTGTGGGTAAAACTGTAAATAATACCTTTACAAACTTATACACTATTTAAAATCTTATTACGAAAAATGCTCATGTTTTGGTATTTACCCGACCTAAACACATTTTAGTTACAAAATATATGCAATCCACATATATATATATATACAGCTTATCTACAATTTTCATACATTATTTCTACCCAGTTATATACAACCTACAATATCATACAACTTAAATACAATTTTTATACAATATTGTTCAACTTTCATACAATATATATATATATATATATATATANAATTTTTCTACAATTTTACTACAATTTCGTAAGTATAATGTATGTCATGTCTTCTTCTTCTTCTTCGAGTTTCAATCTGGAATTCAGCCAAAATCAAGTCTAATCTTCACCAAAACACCCTCACAATTGAGATATAAACTCCAAACCATATTTCCAATGGTTTGCAACAACACCCAATCCAAACAAATAATGTTTTTTGAAAACTCAAATTCGAATTCAAAGCTTTTTAATGGTTGTCAATGGTGGAATTGCTGCTCTCTTTTCCTTTGCTTTACATTACTAGAATTAGAGATTGAGAGATAGAGAGAGACGTAGATAGAATTCTCAATTGTTGCAATAACACCCAATTCAAACAAATAATATTTTTTGAAAACCCAAATTCGAATTCAAAGCTTTTTAATGACCATCAATGGTGGAATTGCTGCTTTTTTTTCCTTTGCTCTACATTACTGAAATTAGGGATTGAGAGATAGAGAGAGACGTAGAGAGGGAGAGAGCACGCAGGAGAGAGAGAGAGAGAGAGCGTGCAGGAGAGAGAGAGGGGGGGGAGACAGAGAGAGAGTGCATGAAGGAGAGAGAATAAGGATGAGAAATAATTGATTCTTAATATAAAGGGATATTCATTTAATTCCTAAAATGTATATAATTGGTAAATTTGTATATAGAATGTAATTAAATTGAAATTTAAGTAGGAAGGGTAATAAAGTTTTCAATAGCGTATAGGTATGAAAAAATTCCTTTTTCAAAACCACCTTTCAGGAAGGGTGCAATGAAGAATAGGCCTCCGACTGAAACAAACTAATTACAAAGCTAACTCATGTATCAAAATATGGCATTTGCTAGCTTTCCTAGAACTTTAGGGGCCATTTGGTATGAGGTATAAGAAGGTATAAGGGTGGTATAAAAATTTAATATCACCTTAATACTCTGTTTGGTTAGCAAACTAGGTATAAGTTATTCCAGTGTTAAAAATACTCTGTTTGGTTAGCAAACTAGGTATAAGTTATCCCGGTGTTAATTTTAACACCGGAATAACTTATACCTGGTTTGCTAACCAAACATAGTATTAAAGTGATACTAAATTTTTATACCACCCATATACCTTCTCATACCTCATACCAAACGACCCCTTAGAGTGTTTTTTACAACTATCAATATATTATAACATGTTCTATTTACCTATCTTATTTTTCATATTACTACTTTCACTTTTTTATACATACAGAAATTAAGCTCTTCAAGAGTATAAACTAAACATTATAAAGAGTGATTACAGTACAGTGCAATTTAATCGATTATAACATGTTATCACCTATTTTCCAAATTATCACATTAGAACTTATAGCATGGCCTTAATGTTCTTTTTTTCCTAAATATAATTTCAAATGAAAACTTTCAATTCCTTTGGTCGCCTCACTGATTCGTTTTTCTCAAACATATCTTTAGTTTTTTTCCTCGTTTCATGAGTGGGAATCAGATGCCTTTTGTCATCTGAAAACTTACCAAGGTGATAAAAGAAAGGTGCAGATACGTTATAATTGGATAAGTTACTAGGAATATGACAGAACGAAAGACCAAGGAAAGAAGGGTGGGGGCAACTGGAGGAAGACAGCACAGGGCAAAGCAAGGAACAGGACTGATATATCCAAAACTGTGAGGTTAATTTGGATACATCAGAAAATCAAGGTCCATTGAATGAAAATTCTCCCCTTTCTTAAAAGGAATCAAATATATATACAGCTTTGTTGCAATGCCAAGCCACTGTGAATGGACATTGAAATTCTCTCTTGCGAATGTTATACTAATTTAATTAGTATCAAACACCAACAATCTCTCTAATAACAACCAATTACACACAACAATAAGACTGGTACCTTTTCCAGCCAAAGCTACATATCTCAAAAAACACCTGCAATTCATACAGAATCCACCCCTTCAACTTGCTGCCGAGCTAGGTATCTCTCTCTTCTTTCCTTCTACAAAGCACAAATAAGGAGGAAAAAACAGGATTATGAAACAAGGAAGAGTGGGATAAAGGAATTACTCCACAAGATTAGTTCTGTAAGTTGAAATAGTATCTAACCCATTCATCTATGACAAGCCCTTCACCGATAATCTTTGGACCTGTGTCTTCTGCAGGCTTCTTGCGAGCCTCAAGAGCAGCATCTGCTTCCGCCAACTGGCGTTTCAGTTTCTCGAAAGCCTTCACATGACAAAATGAACAAAGACTTAAAAGTGGCACCACAATAACGGATGCTTTTTTTTTTTCTTCATAGAAATGACAGTAATGATGTTGGCTACTTGGCTATATCTATACTTACTGGACTAGGACGTTCCACATCGAGAAAGATAACCCGCAGAATTTGCTCTACAGCTACTTGATCCTTTTGCTCATCAAACTAAAAAGAGAACATCGTGCCATGATTAGAGTAAATTTGAATAGGTCTCCCCTAGAAAACTATGTAGTTCACAACTAGTGACGGAGCCAAGATTTTAACTAAGGGGAGTCAAAATATAAATAAGCACACAAAGAAATCAAGGGGAGTCAACGTATAGTATATACACATAAAATTAAGAATTTAATGTATTTACACAGTGTAATTTTCGACAAAGGGGTGTCAATTGACTCCCCTTGCCAAAGTGTGGCTCCGCCACTGTTCACAATATAATTAAAAATGCATCTTTTAGCATGGATGGAAACATCTTTGGTTGTATAATTCACCACATTATTGTTGAAAAGAATACCTGGGGCAGAACCCAATTTTCTTTTAGATAAATCAGAAGTAGGCCTTATCCATTAAAAATGATAATGAACANTATACCTCTCGTTATACATTGGATTCAAATATACTCTTGTCGTTATACTATTGGTTCAAATATACCCCTCTTCTGTTAAGTTTGTCAAAGGTGAACATTCAATCCTACATGGCACTAACATTTGATGAGGTAGATGCCACGTGGCATGCAACCTCAGCTCCCCTAACATTTTACCCCTCCCTTCTATTTTTTTCCACTACTAAAATTTCCTTCCCCTCCATCACCATTGCCACCATTACCACCACCATGAACAATATTGTATATCAAAGTTTAGTCTTTTATATATGTTTGTTTCTCCACTCATCGCTCGCATTGTCTGAAGCTTCTCTAATTTCAAGTGAAGTTCTCTTCCTCGAGAAACTAGATAATCTCTAAGGGGTCGTTTGGTAGGGTGTATAAGAATGGTGCGGAATAAGATGTATCAGTAATGCATGGATTAGTAATGCATGGGTTAGTAATACAAGCATTAGTTATGCAGATATTATTTTTTATCTACTGTTTGGTGTGATGTATTAAAATTATAATGCATTGCATAATTTTTAAGAAAAATAATTGTTTACAAAAATGCCCTCCATATTCTCTAGCTTTAAATGAACTTTTAAGGACAATTTTGTCTTTGACCATGCTAATGCATGCAATAATAGCCTTGATATTACTAATGTCATGGTTTTCTATGTATTACTTATGCATAGGATAATGCCAAGTATGATGTATAACTAATACAAGTATTAGTTATACACAGGTTGAAAAAGTGTACCAAATAAGGTATTAGTAATGCATAGAGCTAATGCTTGCATTATTTTTTCTAATACCTCCTACCAAACGACCCCTAAATGTACTACTAGTGGGCGTATATTGAGGGTGACGACCTAAAGTATATTTTTGCAGACCCAGGTGCTCAAAGCATTTACAGATGGGCAGCATTATGTCTCATATTGTTCAAATACTCTGATTTGGTCTAAGTTGACTAGCTGGAAATTCAATATTGTTCATGGTGGCAATGGTAGTGGAGGGAAAGAAAATTTTAGTGGTGGAATGACAAATAGATGGGAAGGGTAAAATGGTTTAGGAGCGCTGAGCATCCACCTCATCAAATATCAGTGCCACGTAGGATTGAATGTCCACCTTGGACAAACTTAACGGAAGAGGAGCATATTTGAACCAATAGTATTACACCAGAGGTATATTTGGAGCCAAAGTATAACGAAAGGTATATTTAAACCTTTTCTCATAGTACGGGAATATATTTGGACCTTTCCCGAAAAACAATTGACTGAACGTAAGGAGTATAGGACAAACTAAAAATTAGTCTCTTTTATCACAGAAACTAAAAGTGCTGAAGCACATGCTAAAAAGGAGAGTTCCTAGCAGCGAAGTATATACTAACCAGCTCAGGTACATAGTCCATAGGTCCTTTCACCTTGAGGCTCATGATCTTGAACTTCACCTTGCTCTTCTGGTCCATTGGTTTTTCATTATTTTCCGGATGCTCTACAAACTTGAATACTACAATACTGACACAAAGTCAGAATGAAATACTTGCACAACATAATTATGTAATTGAAAAGCGACAATTGTATCTTGCATACAAGGGAGTCACAAGAAGAGTGTGAAAGGACAAACTAAGGATGACGAATATTACCAGTTGCAATGATGCTCTCACCGGGGGCGAGAATTGCTCCAGGAGGACGCATGAAACAGCTTTTTGGTGCAGTTGTTTGAAACTAGTGCACCGTAGGCAAACAGCACCAACCATGTAAACAGAACAGTGCATATAAAAATATTTCAAGATACATTCTCAAAAAAAGTTTCAAACTGAAGTAAACAAAAGGATGGGGGCTAAGAGAAAGTGAGGTGCCCATGTATTGAAAAGAGACAGGAAATCATGAGTACCTTGAAAGCTACATGAGACTTGCTAGAGTTTTTTATCTTGATAGCACTTCGAACTTGTTTACCAGGTTCATCTAGCAAAACAAAAGAGGCATCACTTAAAATGAGAAATGCTTGCAAAAGGAACATAAGCAAGGGAAACTTTAACTGGACTATTCAGAGCTGAAGGCTTCCAGGAGAAACATAAGTAATCTTTTGGGAGAAGCCAGAAATGCATATATATCTTCGAAAGACGACAACATGTGATATTCCAGCATGATAGAGTAGAGAATAAATGAAACACGGTAATGCTCAGATGCAGTCTCTAACAAAAGATCCAAATGCATAAAACAACTAAACTAGCCACCAACTTGCAAAGCCATGAAATCAGACACAAATGGTTTAAAGACCTCCAACCAGAAATCAGAATCCCAATGAGCCTTAAAAATTACTCGAATAAATTATCGCATTCAACAAGTCATAAGCCTGAAACCAAGCTACATCAAGAGAGCTAATGCAGTAAATGATAATAATATTTCGTAGTTAAAGATCACTTTTGTCAGTGACAACTATTTCCACACTGATCATTTGCATATCACCCGATATGGACTTTTAATGCACCTGCTTTTCACTGACGACCTACTAGTGTTTGTTTGATCCAATTTACTCTACATCAAATTAACCAGGTCCCTTCATTAACTTGTAGAGGTAGCTTTTTCTTCTACTCCATTACTGGCTTCACATTAGACATTAAATTGTGTTTGTGCAGCGGGGGAAATTTTTCATAGAAAATGAGTTTCGGGTGTTTGGTCACCTTGAAATGTGGAAATCCTTTTCGCAAGAAAACATTTTCCGCCAAAAGGGAGAAGATAGCTTCACTAACTTATCTACGGAACTCAAGTCTTTTACAAAATTCTAATTCTTACTCCATATTTTATCCAAACTTAGACCTTGTTTTCAGACTTCCACACACAAAATTATCATCAAAACACCATTCTCATACTGTATCTTACAAATTGCATAATTACAACATGTCGCCAACTTTCAAAATCAAACCAAACACTAAAAAGTGATCCAGAAAATGATTTCTTAAGGTAAAATAATTTCCGCGAAAATATCCTCTGTGGAGAACGTTTTCTTCTATATCAAAAGAAACCATAAGTCTCCGTGAAAGCATTTCCCCTGAATTTTCCTCCATACTAAGTGCACCGGGGATCATAAAACATTAGCATGTCCCGATACAAGCTTGAATTGATGGGTCAGCAAAACACTGTTGTTTGTTCCAATAACAAAAGATGCTTGAAAAAATTCTTTGTGAAAAATGTTTCTTCTATACTGAAAGCAACTCTAACTTACCGTGAAAGCATTTTCCATGGAATACATTTTTCTTCATACCAACACATGGGGGATAAAAGCTAGCATGTCTCAATCAAGGATGTTGAATCCCCTTCGTTGAATTGTTACACTGTGCAAATACGATAAACTTAACTTTTTTGGTTTATATATAAACTTGGTCTATATATAAACTGTTGAATCTCCTTAACAAGGGTTCATATCTTAAGTGTGACATTTTCACATTTTCTTGAATCCTCTTACACAGCTCAAATTCCTGGTTCCACCACTGGTCTCAATACAAGCTTGAATCGAGGGGTCAGCAAAACACTGCTGTCTGTTACCCCAAAGAAACAAAAACCAGATGGACTGGCCTTTTTAAGCAAAGATGATCTGCTATCAACTATATTCTTCTCATATCAAGTCGGTCGGACAGTTTGTTTTCTTTAATAGTCCAACATCGCTACTAAACTAACTACTTAGGAATACCAAAAAAAAAAAAAAAAAA